AACAACAACCAACCGATGGACCCACAGAGACCCAATCAATATCTCTCCTCTCGCTTCCTCCGCCGAAAGCTAGCAGCAGCAGTAGTATAGGGCACACCCTGCTCCCGTCCCGCTCTCGCTGTGTGGTGTGTGCAACACACACACGCCGGTTGGTGGGACTCCCTCTCCAGAGAAAAAAAGGCGACAAGGCCGGCAGCGTTGAACAACAACAACCAGAACGGAAACAACAACAACAACATCATTAGCGATGAACCCCGGACCAACCAAACGTTCCCTGCTTCCTCCGCCGTCGCTAACAGCAGTATGTGTGTGTGTCCCGCCCCCCTTATCCATGTTCCCTGTCCCTGTGTAGTGCGTGTCTTGCCAGCAGTGTGTGCAGCACGGCAGTGCGTCGTGGTTTCTTGCGTGCGTGTAGTTTGTTGCCCCCAAAAAAACAAAAATGACGCCTCCCGGGGATGCGTCCATGTGACATATATATTTGCACAAACGGTGTGCTATCTCGAGACACCGACCACGGATTGCAAAGGTAGCGGTTGGGACAGCTCGGGCAAAATGTTACTTGTTGTGCGCAAGTTTTAGTTTGCAATTTGGTGCCGAGATGGTGAAATGGGCTCGAGTCTGCTGGGTATTTAGGGCGCGCAGACACCAGACACCAGACACCAGACATCAGACAGACAGCCATGGCGTAATTTTCACGCCCCTGTGCATGAAAATTATTCTTTTTCTCGTGCGCACATACTCCACACACGATCCCTCTAAACAGCTTCTTTTGCAAAACAAAACAAAAAGCGTACCCCTATACGGGCCACACTTTTCACTTTTCGCAAAAAAAAAAACTATTGTAATCTATGTTTGCTCTTTGCATGTTCTTGTATCACCCCCTGCCGCGGTGCTCTCTGTAGGCCACTCCGAAGGGACGCCTCCTAATCCCTTAAATCAAAGTGCGCCTCGAAAGTTGGGGCCATTTGGATGGTGGTTATACAGAGAAGAGACGGCTCAGGTGGGGAGGCAGCTTGCACTTGCACCTACTGCAGGGCTGGAATGTCCGCATCACCTACCAGCAGAGGCGTCCCTCTTTCTTGTTCGTACATCCAGAAAATTCACCACAACAAATGTTCTGTTCGTCCTAAAAGGGGTGTAACGCGAGAAGAGTGCAGCACTGCTGCTTGTCTTCCCTCAACGTGTACATATATATGAACATACAAACGATGAATTTACAGTTGTAGTCACGACCAGGACTGGAGGCGAGAGCAAAACTCCTTTGTCGAGCTCCGGCACGCTTTCAAGAAAAAGCTCGCTTACGCCTACATCCTACATACGATAGTCAAGTTCATACAACAACCGTAGGCGCTACTACTGTTGTACGCATGTACAGTCGGGAATTTTAGACTTTGGGCATCAGGACTGGTCTTCGGAACGCTGCTGGAATTTTCTGAAAGCACCACATCCAGTCCTCGTCAAAGTGCCGTGTCTGGGTGTACAGTGTGAATGTATGTTGTGTGTTGCCGTGCTACACGACCGGGGGGAGTCCATGACACAAATGACACGAGCGAGTTTAAAACAGAAATACTTCGCCGCGGATGGCAGAAAAGATTGATGTTGCGCAGCAAGAGGCGAGGATTTGTTCAACGAAATTACTTTCACTTGGTAGTAGTCGCAGCAGCAGAAGAAGCACACCTGACCGATGTACAGCAAAAGGTGCGTCCGTTTGGTGGGCCTTTCCAAGATATCGGAAGGCCAGCATTTCACTTCGAGGAGACGAGGAGACCGATACGCCAGCTCTCCTCTCATTGCTTGTGGCGGCTGGGTGGAAGTCGCTCGGTGATCCGCCCACACGCGGGGGTGTGAAGGGCGGGGGGCGGGATGTTGCCATGAAGCGTGCTTTTTTTGGTGGGGGGAGCACAGGTTTGCGTCGCCGCAAGTTCCTCTTCGGCATCATCGTTTCTTCTTCGCCGCACAACACACAACACGTGTTGATCTTTGATCATTCTTGACCAGACTTCACCAGGCTGCTTCTCCTGCTCTCTGCGCTGCCCCTTCCCGTCACCATAACCTAAACACATTGAGTAAACTTCAAAATAGAAACATCCGGCAGGCCAGACTTGGGTCAGGATCCCAAGTCAGGAAGAGCGTTGTCTCAAGGCCTGTTTCAACACCTTCGAAACCAATTTTTGCTCCTTCTGTTTCGTAGTTGCTGAGGATGCTGTCCATCCTCGGTATCTCCAACATTCGCGGCTATGACAAATACATGCGTACTCCGTGTGATAATTAGGCTACGATGAGAATAATAACTGTGCTAATGTGTGTACTTCCGAGGCAACCAGTGGTGTTCGGGGCTACTGATGCTGTACGTGTGACAAGCCCCAACCGCAGCTCTGTGGGACAACGTTGCGCAAGCCTCTTTCCACCTGGCTTTTGAAAGCCCGTGTGTTGCTGGGTGCCCTCGGTTGTTTTCACCGTCAACCAACAAAATCGATTGGCATACCAACTTATGCCCTTGGAAGGCATTGGCGTCAGTCGGACGAGGACGGATGTTGGCCAGTACTGGGCAGAAATCGGAGCTGTTTCCAATAATGTGAAGGCAACATCAAGAACAGATGGAATATTCTGGACGGCCGTATGCACCGGTTCTAAGTAGCGCGATGACGGGCACTTGTGACGCAAGACACAAGTGTCCGGAGTAGACGTCCCAATGATGGGCACCGGAGTAGACGTCCCAATGGTGGGCACCGGGACATTATTACCCATAGTCAAAGTGCCCGGAGGGGTTGCCAATAGATGTAACCGTCTGTCGGGTTCAGAATGGAACCAACGGAGTAATTGGCCTCGGTCCCATTCTCTGCGCAATGATGAAACGGTTCCTCCGACTGACAGCTTGCAGCTTGCCGTCAGTAACCGAAGTGTCCGGAGGTGAACACGAAACCTTTGTGAGCGAACCTGATCTGAGCGCTGTCGAGTTGTAATCGCGACTGTGAGTGATGACGCCACACATGCACTGCTGTAGTACCTGGTACTGGTGTACGTTGTCCTTCGATTTTTTATTTTTTTTGTGGGAATATATATGTGTTTGTTTTTCGCCCCCCGTCTTGCTGCACCCCCTGGGGTGTGGTGCAGGGCGGGGGATGCCTGGTCGGCGGGAACCCGGCACGGAACCCTCCGGCGTTGTAGGCGGGTGTGGGAAGCGTTCCCCGTTCTCCTTTTATTTTATTTTGATCGGTCTCCTCGACGCTCTTTCTCGTTTGGTGCGGTAGCTGGTCTTTCTTTCTATCATTTTGTTTCTCTTCCGAGTGGTTTTTGTACCCTATTTTTTTCTGTTTCTTCGTGGGGTCGTGTATGCCGG